CGAGCAGCCAACAAACACATGAAGAAATGCTCAACCTCACTAATCATCAGGGAGATGCAAATCAAAACCACACTGAGATACCACCTAACTCCAGTCAGAATGGCAATCATCAACAACTCAAAAAATAACAGCTGCTGGAGAGGGTGTGGTGAAAAGGGAATACTTCTACACTGTTGGTGGGAGTGTAAACTAGTGCAACTTCTGTGGAAAGCAGTGTGGCGATTCCTAAAAGTTCTAAAAATCAACCTTCCATATGACCCTGCAATCCCCCTACTGGGAATATACCCTGAAGACCTCAAATCACTCTATGAAAAAGATACCTGCACACGTATGTTTATCGCAGCGTTGTTCACAATAGCAAGAACCTGGAAACAACCATGCTGCCCATTAAAAGAGGATTGGATTTAAAAAATGTGGTACATATACACGATGGAATACTATGCAGCCATAAAAAGGAACAAGATCATGGATTTCGCAGCAGCATGGATGGAACTAGAGTCTATAATACTGAGTGACCTCTCACAGAAGCAAAGATCTGAGTATCACATGTTCTCACTCATATAATGGACCTTGAACATCCAATGTAATACTATAAGAAAATGACTGTCGGTACTGGGAAACTATGAGGGGGGAGGTGGATGGGATCAACAGTCGCAAATATCTGTCTGGGGATGGGGAAACACCTCTTATCCACAGGGTGCCTGAATGAAACGTAATTGTACACCTAACCCTTAACTGTACCCCACAAAATCATAATAAAAAATATTGATTAAAAAAAAAAAAAGAAATGTTTGTTAGAATTTTGCTCTTTGTGTGCTTCATAATTGAAAAGAGCTGCTCCCAAATGTATGTGCTGCCAATACGTGATGCCATGAATACGGCGTGATTGTGAAGTGAGAGAGAGTTTTCTCTAGGAAGATAAATCTTTTAAAAGTCCCAAAAAGAAACATGATCAAATTTTTCTCTCAGGTGAATGTCTGATTGCAACTCTATGTATTCTATTTGAAAATTTGCAGGTAAAATATTAATGTCAACTGAAAATGGCATAGCAAATATAGTAAAATTGTGATTATTTTGCTGGAAATCTTGAAATCTGTTTTCAGATTCCTGTGTTAAGACAGAAAGCAAAGGTACATATTTTTGGCAATTCACAAAACTGCATTTAGCCAATGTAATAAAATGTGTTAAATTATTTTCCATAACTTGAGTTTGCCCATAATTTAACTTTCATACTAAGCACGTTATCGTTTTGGAACTTCAAAAATGGGACTATACATTGGGTCACAAAGAACATAAATGTTAAAAAGGACATGATATTAAAAGATTTTGTGGACCTGCCTTACTAGCCATCGTGGGCCACATGTTGGACATGCCTTACCTACGACAATAACTATATTACTATGTGTTTAGGTTACACTAAATTTATTAAAAAATGTTATTTCTTTAATATTAAATTAACCTCAGCCTATTTTCAGAACTTCTTTTGCTTTGTGACTTTTTTGGTAGCAACACTTAAAACACAAACACATTGTACAGCTATACAAAAAATATTTTATTTCTTTACGTCTTTATTCTAAAAACTCTTTTCTATTTTAAATGTTTTTGTTCTTTTACTTTTTAAACTTCTTTGTTAAACAGTAAGACATATACACTAACCTAGGCCTACACACAGAGTCAGGATTATCAGTATCACTGTCTTCTATTTCCACATCTTGTCCTACTGGAAGACTTTTGGGGGAAATACACATGGAGCTGTCATCTCTTATGATAACAGTCCTTCTTTTGCAGTAACTCCTGCAGGACCCTCCTGAGGGTTTTTTGCAGTTAACATTTAAAATATATATTAAAGTAGAAAGAGGATACTCTAAAATGATAAAAAGTATAGTATAGGAAATACAGAAACCAGTCATTTATTATTATTATCATTTATGATGTATTATGCACAATTGTATATGCTATACTTCTATAGGACTGGCAACAAGTAGGTTTGTTTATGTGAGTATCACCCCAGACACATGACTAATGTGATGTGCTACTACAACTTTACCATGGCTAGGTGATAGGAATTTTTCATTATAATAATTTTTAATTATAATCGTATGGGACCACTGCCATATATCTGGCCTATTATTGACTGAATGTCATTATATGATGCATGTCTGTGTTTCTGTAGATTTTGAAAAGTGAATAGTCATGGCTTTAACATCATAGTCATGAAATAGAACACTTTTTATCATCCTACATGCTATGTTTTGGAAGAGATTATTAAAACTTGTATGATACTTAATATTCATAGGAAAATTTTTGTGTGGATGTTACTGATGTTTTTGGCTTGGTCTGAATAATCAAATTAAGAGAAAAACTTGTCACAGTAATTAGAAATATCAATACTGGATCTGTCAGACTGATGCAGAATGGTGGGAATATCTGTAATGGGAAAACTACATAAAGTTGGAATTCTACCTTTTTCAAGACATGCTTGTGTAAACATTATCTTTTTCCATTGGGTTTCAATATTAAACATCATTGTGTACCCCTGAAATCTGGCCTACTCCACACAGCTTCTCCTTGGGACAGGAGTGACAACATGAAGCTCATGCTGACTATTGTACCATAAGAACTCTCTCTTACTTAGGATTCTCATTTTTTCCAGCATCCATGAAACTGTGGCCAGCTTTTTAGATAAATACAAGTAATGTAACGTCTTTGATCCCTTATAGTTATTTAATATTTTCATAGATAAATAGGTAAAATTATGTGTTTTTTAAACATGAAAAAATAGAGTAAGATTATTATAGAAATTCAGAGTAGTAAAATAACGAATGGAGTGTGTGTGTGCGTGTGTTGTATATGTATTTAATAAGAAAAATATACTAAAATACTCCAGGAATTCATAGGCATTCTTGGATAGATAAGTAACAGTTTCTTAGACCAATTCCTTTCTGCCTTCATGAGTGGGTTAGCCTGCTTGATTTTCAATCTGGAGTTCTGTCTTTGCATAGAGAGTCACAGTTTCTAAATATTCAAAATATGAATATTTATGTGTTTTTTATTTTTTTATTTTAAAGCTTTTCAATGCTTAAAATAATTTGTAGATATTAAATTGGCCTATTGAGTGTTATAGTACACAGTTGAAGACTTTAAAATAAATCCTGTTAAATAGGTATATAGCAGTTTCTGTAAGGCAAACACTAGTAAATTATGCTTAATGTGGAAAATACCCTTACTTTGCGTCTCAGAATTAAAACTAAGAGCATAATCCCACGCCTTTGGGAGGCTGAGGTGAGTGGATTGCCTGAACCCGTGGGTTCGAGACCCGCCTGGGCAGCAAGACCTCATCTCTACAATAAATAAAAAAATTAGCCGGGCGTGGTAGCGCGCGCCTGTAGTTCCAGCTACTTGGAAGACTGAGGCGGAAGGATCGCCGGAGCCCAGCAGGTCGAGGCTGTGATGGCTGGGAGCAGCCACTGCACTCCAGTTTGGGTGACAGAGTGAGACTCCAACTCAAAAAAATAAATAAATAAATAAAAAATAAAACTAAGAGCAATTAGTAAAAGTCCTTTCATGTAGTTTTCTACTCTTTTGTATATGTTGATGAGGCAGAGCAATATTTTCTAAAGTAAGTTTTATTTAATTTTCACTTTAATAGTTTTATTATTTTACTTTGTATGGAAATATATTCATATATATTTGTAGTCAGAATTAAAGCCCCGACAGTTAAATATAACTAAATTCAAGTAATTAGTTTGTTTTGTTAGGATCAATTTCAGTGTATACCTTTTTGTTATGGCAAAATTGTGTAATTTTTTTAAACTAACAATTACCCAGTAATTAGCCATACAGTTTTAATTTTTTCCATACAGTTGGCATGTGGTTGTATGGTTATATGAATCCTCTTTCTCTTCCAGTTATTAACTCAAGTGTTCTGTTCTTAGTTCAGTTTCTTCTTCTCTCTTCCTCCCTCTCTTTCCTTCCCTTTCTTTCCCTCCCTGTCTCTCTCCCACCTCCCTCCCTCCTTCCTTTTCCCCTCCTTCTTTCTCTCCCATTTTTGACCTTTTTTTTTCAGGTGGCTACCCCTAACTCAGGGTAAGATGCCTACTGTCCCTTTTCTTCCTTTGCATACATGTTCATTCTCTCTGTGTCTCCCATATTAGCCACTACCCTTTTACCACAGTAGATTAATTTTTCCTGGTTTTGACTTTCATACACAAAGGATAGTTTTGCATAGTTTTATGCATAGTTTCAGCATGTTATTTGTGAGATTTCTCTGTGTTGTTGCATGTGAATAATTAGAGGAAAACTTATAGTCTTCAAGTCCAGTCAGCCCTTGCTAATAAGGGTTGTAGTAAGATTGCAAGTCCCTTCACTGGCCCCCTTATCTCCCCTCACCGCCACCCCAGGTAGTGTTTGACTGGAGCAGAGAGGTAATTATTTTTGTCTTACTAGGCTTGCCCTTTCTTTGTCCCTTGGGGAGAGAGAGCTAGCTTTCCTGGAGACTTGTTTTGTCTGCCCCCATAGGCATTCTTGGATTGCTGACTTCTCCAGTAACCAATCTGGGATATATGAGATTGAAAGAAAACCCAGGGAACCCAAGTCATTATTTAGGTCCTGAGGTCACTAGCCAGTCTACTTCCTCTCCACCTTTCCAAGTCATCTTATGCTTTTCTTTTTCTTTTTCTTAGCATAATCACCATTTTTAGCTGTATTTAGTGGGAAGATGAGGAAAATATGGAATAGATTCCATCTTTCTAACAGTAGAAGTTTTATTGCTTTACTTTTGATATCTTTCTTATAAACCTTGAAATCATTAGAAAAATATAATAAAATATTTTATGCATTTATGGTCAATTACTAATGAATATATTTGCAAAAACTAGGGTCTCTTAACAGAAATTGATTTTAGGTAAAATACAATCTCATGCAATTCTACTTCTTTGCTACCCAAACTAAAGGACTTTATTTAGCCTTGTGTAAATTGAAATTTCTGGGTTTAATTGCAGAATCTTTTAGCTGAAAAAGTAGAACAACTGATGGAATGGAGTTCCAGACGCTCAATCTTCCGAATGAATGGTGATAAATTCCGAAAATTTATAAAGGCACCGCCTCGAAACTACTCTATGATCGTTATGTTCACTGCTCTTCAACCTCAGCGGCAGTGTTCTGTATGCAGGTATTGTATGTATTTTTAAGATATTAAAGACTATTATTCCAGGCTTATACATTTATTTTAAGATAAATATGTATAAGAGAATTAAATATTTGTTCAGTAGTCAAAAATGACTATATACATTTAAAAATAAGATTAAATTAGTGTATTCTAGAAAATGGCATTGATAGACTAGTATTCTTTTGCTATGGGTGAGTAAAATATTTATTGATCAGTTGCATGTAAAATCATAAAAATTGATTTGTCATCTTTGTGTCCTGCAGACTGCCTTGTAAGTTACCCAGTTATATCTATGGTCAGTGAAGTAGCTCCCATAAATATACTGCATTTTAACATTTTAATAGCGAAGACTCACTTTTACCTAGAGAAATCCATTTTCTTTTTAATACCTCCAATGATAAATAATTTCTTCATATGCTATGTAAGTAAACAATTTGGAATGGATGAATTATTTGTCAGTAGGAACAAACTAAAGATAATTCTGGATAAGTACAAATACATACACAACTTTTTAGTTAAACTTTTTATTTTGAGATCATTGTAGGTTCTTCTGTATTTGTAAGAAATAATACTGAGAACCTGTAAACCTTTTCCTAGAGTACTCTAGTTGTAACATCTTGTAAAACCATGGTACAGTATCACATTCAGAATACTGGTATTGATATAATCACGATGCAGAACAGTTCTGCAAATACTTCTTCTTGCCATTTATAGCCATATCCACTCCTCATTCTATTCCCTATCCCTTGGATTTGACTTCTGGCAATCACTAATCTGGTCTCCATGTTTATGTTTATGTTTATAATTTTGTCATTTCAATAATTTTATGCAATTGGATTCAGTAAGTATGTGACCGTTAAGATTTGGAATTTTAAAATTTATCATACTTTTCTCAGAATCTATCCAAGTTGTTGGATTTATCAGCAGTTTATTATTTTTATTACTGAGTAATACTCCATGGTATGGATGTACTACAGTTTATTTAACCATTCATGTTAAGGTTATCTGGGTTGTATCTACTTTTTTGCAATTACAATTAAAACTACTGTGAGCATTTTTCTGCAGATTTGTTTGTGAACTTAAAATTTTTTCTGGAATAAATGCTGGAGAGTGTGATGGCTTGGTTGTATGGTAGTTTCATAGTTATATAAGAAATTGCCAAAATGTTTTCTGGAGTGACTGTATTATTATGCATTCCAACCAGCAGTGTAGGAGTTATGTAGTTTTTCCTTATTCTTGCTAGCATTTGCTCTTTCATTTTAGTCATTCTGATAGAGATGTAGCATTATCTCATGGTGGTTTTATTTTGCATTTCCCTAGTGGCTAATGTTGAATGTCTTTTCATGTGCTTATTTGTCTTGTTGAACATGTTTTCATGTCCTTATTACCTATATATTTTCTTTGATGAAATACCTGTTCATGTATTTTGCCTATTTCTAATTGGATTTTTAAATTGAGTTTTGTGAATATTTTAATACATTTTTAAGATACTAGTCCTTTGTCAGATATGTGGTTTTCAAATATTTTCTCCCTGTTTGTGACTTGTTATTTCATCCTCATTACAGAATCTTTTGTAGATTGTAATTTGGATGAGGTCAATTTATCAGTTTCTTGTTCTTTTTTTTTTTTTTTTTTAATAGGTCTCACTTTTGTTTTCAAATTGAAGAATTCTTTGTTTAGTTCTAGGTCCCAAAGTTTTTCTCCTATGTTGTTGTGGTGGTTGTTGTTTCCCTGCAAGCTTTCTAGATTTATAATCTACATTTTTACCTGATTTTTGGAAGGAAGCATTCAGTCTTTCATCATTAAGTATGATATTAGCTGTGGGTTTTTTTGGTACGTGGTTGTTATCAAGTTGGGGAAGTTCCCCTTTATTCTTAGTTTGCTGAGAATATTTATTATGAAGGGTGTTGCATTTTGTCCCTTTTTAAAATTTTTGTTTGTTTTTGATGTTAGTATTATTTTTCTCCTTTAGCCTGTTGATATAATAGGTTACAGTCGCTGATTTTAGAATGTTGAATCTGTCTTGCATACTGGAATGAATCTCATTTGATTGTGATATATTGCTGTATTCTATTTGCTAATATTTTGTTGAATAATTTTGCATCTAAGTTTATGATAGACACTAGTCTGTAGTTTTCACTGTTTATATTGTCTTTGTTTAGTTTTGGTATCAGGGTAATATTGCCCTCATAAAATAAGTTGGGAAATGTTCCTTCTTTTATGTTTTGGAAGAGATTGTGTAGAATTAGTTAGTGTTCATTCTTTGAATGTTTAGTGGAAACCGCTAATAAAATCATCTGGACTTGGAGATGTCTTTTTCAGGAAATTTTAAACTATATATTCCATTCCCTTAATGGCTAAGGACAGTATAGGCTGCATGTTTCTTCATGGCTAAACCTTTTTCTTTTCAGTAACAAACACTTTTTGTGTTGTGGCTTCATGTGCCAGGACGTCCCACATTATATTTTCATTGTTCACTTGGTTTAGGCTTTGAAATCATTTTGAGCTCTAGTGGAGACTTCAGTAACTTGGGCCAATGAAATAAAAATTAGTTTTATTCAGACTAGCTTGCAGAAAAGGAATTTTCGTGTTCTGAAATTTGGAAGAAGGCTCTTATCACAACCTAATAATGAGTGTTTGTTGGGGCATGGCTAGAAGTAGGTAGAGAAGATAGTGAACAAAATTATTTTGAAAAACATAATTTGACTGGGCGCAGTGACTCAGCCTGTAATCCCAGCACTTTGGGAGGCCAAGGTGAGTGGATTGCCTGAGTCCATGGGTTTGAGACCAGCCTGGGCAACTTGGTGAGAAGTCGTCTCTACAATAAATAAAAAATTAGCTGGGCATAGTAGCATGTGCCTACAGTTCCAGCAACTTGGAAGGCTGAGGCAGAAGTATTGCAGAGTCCAGCAGGTTGATGCAGGGGTGGCTGAGAGCGTGCCACTGCACTCCACCCTGGGTGACAGAGTGAGACTCCAACTTAAAAAAAAAAGACCTTCTCCCTAGCACTCAACAATTTAGGAGAACCACCCTCCTTTGTGATTATCATATTTGCTTTATGGTGTGAAATAGATTGGACAAGTGAGTAGGAGGTGCTGGTAAGAGTATATTTAATGTGTATAACTATGGTTTTAAAGTTGAATGGGGGCCAGAGGAAGCCAGATAAAGCTGACAAACTAGTCATAATATGATTAAGCTAGATTTTTTCAAGGATGAAGAACAGATTTTGGTAGAAGTATGAAACTGAAAATTAGCAAGTTGCCATAAAGGGTTTAATTAATAAGTAAGTAAATTTCTAAAGTATGATGTAGATGATTTTTGGTGGTATAGAGTAGCCTGAAGAACTATCAGACTGTGGCAATGTCTTGATTCTAAATTTGTAGCTTGAAATTACTCAAGATAATATTGCAACTGAAGAGGTTTTGAGTTTATGCAGGAATGCCTTGGAGTTTGTTAGATAAGGTGATAAATTTGTGTTATAGGATGATATAAATTTAAAGGGATAATCTGTTATCTAATTGTGGTTAAGCAGTAGTCTTAAGATCTCCTGTTTTTGAGCCAAGAGAGTAGTACTAACTGTGATCCATATGATAGTGGGTAGTGTGGAACAAAGACAGCTCAAGTTGAAAGGTAAGGTGATTCAAGAAATAGTTTCAAGAAAAAAGAAAATTCAAATTATATTCCTGAATAATAAATTAGGCCTCAAAAATGTAGATGCATTGAGAAATCAGAGTCATCAGCAGCTACCTTTTTTTTTTCACATGCATTAATTGAGTCCTTCTGTGTCAATGTACTTTTGGACCACTTCTCTTACTGGTGTGATTTTTTATAATTATATAGGACATTTGAAGAATTTATAGGTATCATTTAAAAGTCTTAGTGTTTTGTTTTAGAGGCATATGCTTTTTTATTTTCCTTAAGAAAAAGTAAAATATTCTTCTAGAATTAACTCACACTTAGATTCTCCAGTTGCTTTTCTTTGCTGAAAGGCTGGTGAGTAAGCTTTTGGCTTCCTTGTAAACTCTTTTAGCAGATCATTCTGTTCTTCCTTCACACAGTCAGTTTATTCACAAATTTTAGAATTCAATTCTCACTTCCCTTAGTGTTAACATCAAACTCCTTGGCCCAATAAAGTTGTTAATTAGGACTACTTGATATAATTCTCACTTCCCTAAAGTGTTAACTCCAAACTTTCTTTATCAAATTATGCTATAGGGCATATTCCCCATAATTGCTAACTCTTTTGGTGTATTCTCCAATAAATATACTCATCTCTTCCAGAATTCACTACAAATTCTAAGAACAAAATACGTTGTATAAGGATATTACTGTGGGTCAGTAGACTTAAGAATAAGATTCTTGAAGGAAAATTTTTTTTAAATTATATGTAGAATCAAGCAAGGTAAATGTACAACCAAAGTTTTGATGATGTGTTAGAGATTGATATATTTTTAGACTCCAAATAAATGAAAAAAATTAGTAAAATTCAAAGGCATTTTGAAAAAACATGGTGAATAACGCATTACCTTGACATATTAGATATTAACTGGTTAACATCCTTTTTTCCCCAACTAAATAAAATTATTGTTTACTATGTGTAAACTATTAGGTACCCTATATTAAGTCATTTATATATACAGTATATATACATACACACACAGTATACACATTCTCATGTAATTCTTATTCTGAAAGGTAAATCTGAAAAAAATCCATTTTATAGACAAAAACATTAAAGCTGAGAGGGTATATAATTTATCCAATGTCACACAACTAATCCTTTCAGGATTGGCATTTGTGACTCCAGAACTATTAGAATATAATGCTTTCTTTAAGTGCACATATTCATCATTGTCCTTACTCTATGAACTGTAATTTCTACCTTGTTTTTGTGTTCCTAACAAAGATGACTAGTCTTTTAGGGCAGGGATCCATCAGCTAGCATTTTCTAAACTCATAAGATCATGAAAAACTTTTATTCAGGGAAGCATCTTATAACAGGG